TGAGCGTGTGATGCAGCTGTTTGGGCTTGTCAACACCCTTCTGAACAACGACACCGAATCATTCAAGAGACATCTCAACATTCAACGATTCCCAGCTATACCGCTGTCGCAGAACTCTGGTTTGTTGGGCTGGGTGCCAAATTCTGATACTCTTCATAACTTGGTTAAGGAGTACCGCGAGTCAAGGCGGATCTTGCTGAACATTGAGCACAGAATTATGCTGCAAATGGCTCCTGACTACGACAACCTCACACTCATGCAGAAGGTGGAAGTTTTCGGGTACGCAATGGACAACACGACCGGGAAGGATTTGTACCGTGTGCTTTGGCTGAAGTCCAAGAGCTCCGAAGCCTGGCTTGATCGGCGAACAAACTACACCCGCTCACTCGCTGTCATGTCAATGGTTGGATATATCCTCGGGTTGGGGGATCGTCATCCATCAAATCTCATGCTTGACCGCATCACTGGCAAGATCATCCACATCGACTTTGGTGATTGTTTTGAAGTAGCCATGCATCGCGAAAAATATCCAGAAAGAGTCCCCTTCCGGCTGACGCGGATGCTCACCTTCGCCATGGAAGTCAGCAATATCGAAGGGTCGTTCCGCATAACATGCGAGAACGTCATGCGCGTCATCCGCGAAAACAAGGAGTCGATTCTGGCAGTGCTTGAAGCCTTCATCCACGATCCCTTGCTTAATTGGCGTCTCAACACCCGCGAGTCTCCGCCCAGACCACACTTCCGCTCCGAACGGAGGCAAAGCATCATCGAAGCCCCCGGTGCACAGGGAGGAGACTATGATCGCAGTCCTATGGAGAGTGCGAACAACCCGGCAGCGATGATGAACAACCAGGGACAGAGCCATGTTGGTGCACCTCCAGGACGTCGACACCGTCGCAGCAGTGTTCTTGATCCAGCGATGGTAGGCGGAAGTGTGCTTGACAAGACAACGGACAACAATGCCGCAGCTCAGGAAGCAAAGGAGGTACAAAATGCCCGAGCTTTGCAAGTGCTAGCCCGCGTCAAGGAGAAATTGACAGGACGTGACTTCAAGCCTGCGGCGCCAGGTACACCCTCATACGCTATGGCAACAGCCCTTCGCGCGGACGTCAACGGTCTTGGCCTCGAATCTCTGATGAACGTGAACGGCGGGGCGATGAACAACTTGACCAATGGCGCGATTGGGGCCGTGGATATGCAGCCACACGGCAAACAGGTCTCGATTGCAGGCACAGCACCCGAGACGACCATGGCGGGGATCGGTGGATTGGGAGTTGCGGAGCAGGTGGATCGCTTGATTCTGCAAGCGACGAATGTGGAGAATCTATGTCAGCATTATATTGGGTGGTGTTCGTTCTGGTGATTGGGGTGGGTTGGAAATGGAGGACTATCTTAATTCCTGTTTGTGCGGGAGATATTTGCCTCTCCTGAGACGAGGGGATGCCTTTGAACCACGGGCTTTGGTCTGGGTCTGCGTTTGTGTCACATCCATATCGCTCAGAGAGGTCATGCTGGCTTCCTGCATGTCTCGGCCTTGTCTATAACGAGGACGACACTGGACTGGCCAGGAATTAGCAGATGGAAGAAAAATGAATCGCAAAGGCAATGGCAAAAGTCGATCTGTGGCGGTCGGAACCCCGGGGAGGCTGATCGTCCATCAACTTTCCTCGTATTTACGCTTTCCTTCACCCAAGTTACAAACTGTAGCCGGATGGTAGAGGACACCAATTGATTGTAACGCATAGGAAGGAGGGGGCATAGAGCAGCATGGGCATTTCATAGCATAGTATAGTATGGCAACACGTGCACGCACGCATGCATGGCGTGGCGTAGTATTTATTGTATGGTATGGTACGGCATTACACTGGTTCAACGTTAAAGCTATCATAGCATACCACAGCACAGCACAGTATAGTATAATACCTACGTAAAGGCCTTGCACTTTGGTAAAATACCAGTCAGAGGAGCTGCTGCTCAGTTACTCGGTTCCTTAGTTCCATAGGTACATAGGTACATATGTACATACCTAGGTAGGTTGGTAGGTACCTACAGTACCTGAGGAGGTATATATGTACGTACCACCGCGTGAAGTCGAAAAAACGCCCCTCTTGCAAAATTTTCTGAATCCGTACAAAAGCGACATGGAATACGGCGGCAAATGTGCGTGCATCACGGTGCAGTTGGACGAGGGATAAGGTATACGAGGTATACGAGGAGACTAACGCTAACGCTAAATGGAAATAAATACCCTGTACATATTAATACAGGTGCAGAAGTCTAAATCGGAATGGAGCAGAGTGTTATTATGTACGAGGTACAGAGTAGTATGTGTGTAGAAATCAATCGGATTGAATCAGTCAATTCAATCAATGGCAGTGTCATTACTGAAGCCTACAATAAAGCATTTATTTGGGCGTCAGGTACGAGGTACTCAGCTCGGTATTTGCATCCATACCAAACAGGACCAAAGAAAAACTCCATGCCTCGATTTTACCTGCTCGCCACGCCACCTTGAAATATCAGCAAGTCAAATGGTTTCTCGCATGCATTTTTCTTTTCCGCTTTTGTCTTTTTTGATTTCTGGTCCTGGCTTGCCTTTTTTGGACCTTCTGTAATCCACTTTGCGCGATGGTCTACTTGGTAATGTCGAGTTCGGCTCATGCTTTTCCAGATGACATGCACCCAATCGTGACAACCTTGAACAACGCCCGTAAATAAAAGAGCCGGATGCATATTTTCTGAGACAAAAATAGCTCGGTGTCCACATGTTGGATCGTTTTCGGTATCTGCCTGGTCGGGAAGACATGCTCGTGCGCTGCTGGCAGAAAGGGCACATCGTTTGCTCCGTCTGCGAGATCTAGTGGTATCCATTGGTGACACCATTCGTCCCATTCTGTTGGGTGTGTTTAACTTGTCTCCTTGTCCGCACCGCCTCGGCCAATTGCTCCAAAACCTCCACTGTTGTTTCCCAGTTGATACAAGCGTCCGTGATACTGACCCCCTTTTGCAGGCTATCGAGACCACCCTCAGGAGGTACCTTCTGGTTGCCCTCATTGATGTTAGACTCAATCATGACCGCCACGATTGCATCTTCACCCTGTCTCAGCTGGTCACCGATGGCTTGAGCGACCAAAGGTTGGTTCCTATGGTTCTTCTTGGAGTTGCCGTGCGAGCAATCAATCATCATGACTTCTCGCTGGCCCTTGGACTTCAAAGCTGCGCGAGCTGCCTTCACCGACTCCGCATCGTAGTTTGTGCCCTTTGAGCCGCCACGGAGAATCACAAAGCCGTCTTCATTGCCGGCTGTTTTTGTGATGGCAGCCAAGCCTTGCTTGGTGACACCCATGAAGTGGTGTTTCGCGGCGGCAGCTCCTACGGCATCGATGGCCACAGAGAGTGACCCGTCTGTTCCATTCTTGAACCCCATTGGGAAGGACAAACCCGAGGCGAGTTCTCTGTGAAGTTGAGACTCGGTTGTTCGGGCGCCAATGGCACCCAGGGAAATCAGGTCAGCCAGAAATTGCGGCGAGATTGTGTCGAGCATTTCGCTCGCAATAGGCATGCCCATTGAGGTAAGGTCAGCGTAGAGCTGTCTCGAGACGCGAAGGCCTTTGTTTATTTTGTACGACTCATCAATGTCAGGATCGTTGATGAGACCTTTCCAGCCCACTGTGGTCCGGGGTTTTTCTAGGTAGGCACGCATAATGATACATAGATCCGACGACAGCTTTTCCGCAAGCTCTTTCAGCCGACCGGCGTATTCAAGAGCTGTTGCAGGGTCATGGATGGAACAGGGTCCGACCATGACAAGAAGTCTGTCATCCCGCTGGTGTATGATTTCTTTGCATTCTCGGCGACCTTTGGCAACAGTCTCGACTGATGCTTGTGATGCAGGAACCTCGGCTTGCAGGAGGGCAGGGGGAATAAGAGGGTCATAGCCAAGGACTCGAACGTCCTCGCCGGCGGCAGAAGCTGCAGTATCGGCGGAGGGCATTGTGAGGAAGGCTGTGTGGAATTGGCTATTGGATGAGATGAGCAGGCGAGATGTCACAGGACGAAGGGACAGAAAATAGGTGAAGTCGTAGGGGTGAAAGAGGAGTGTAAGAAAGAAAGAAAAAAAGAAGAGGGTAAGGTATAGCTATTGTGTGAGCGGAAGCATAGTCACCCCAGTCAATGGTATGATTCACGAGGGCGACGTGCGGCGAGGACTGGCCTCGACTCAGAAAAAAAATTGGGCGCAGTTAAGTGGAGGGGCAGCCAAAGTGAAAAAAAAGAACTGGAGGCGGTGTGACTCGCTGCAGCTCCCATCGGATAAATGATTTTTCCATTATTCCGCACACTTAGGGCACTAGTCTAAATTAAGTAAACGCGGAATGGCTTGAATCGCCGCCACGAGGCACGAGGGAGGCGCCACGCAAACGGTGGTGATAGTACTAAAACAATCAGATGGATGATGACGTAGTGCCAGGGAGGCTCTGGTGGCTTGTTCGTGGCTTCCCCTTTCACTCATTCTCCCTATGGCCACAACCAACTTCCCCCCACAAACGCGACACACAGACCGACAAACTCCCCTTCTTCCCCCCATCATGAGTATCTCTTCCACATTACTCTGTACAAGTCATTATATTCGACCATCTTACCATCTCCCTTCTTAACACTCAGCCGCCCCCTTATACAAAAATCCCACAGATCTCACTCGTACGGAACGCTGACTTCCCGAACACCCTTCCATCTGAACCCCGGCCATTCGCCTCCAAGCCCAGGCGCGCGCTCTGGTTGGCCCTCGTTCAAATTGTCTTTGTTTCACCTACTCAAAGACGTCCACCACACGACACTGCCACGGTTTGATCGACTCTCCTTGCACACGGGGCTATGACTTCGATCTCTACGCTGGAAACATAAAAACACCCCTCTAATCACACCACAATCGCTCCTCGCTCTGTCAAAGCTCCATGTGCGGTTTGAGTCCCAATCACCCGACCACCGCTGATCCCTCTGCCATGGCCGATGTCCACGCTTCTACGTTCCATTTCAACAATCCAACACCCTCCTGCAAGCGGAAACGACCATCAAATAATCTAGAGGACGATGGTGGCTTCATGGTTCGCAACCCCAAAAGACGGCCCACCCCGACACAATGTCTACCCTTCCGCTTGTCGCCTTCGCGGCCACATGTTTCAGTTCCTGGCGGCTCTTACCCTCTCTTCACTTCCATCTACCAGCAACCTCCGACTCCGGTAGACACCTCGGATGAAGATGAAACTTCCAGCCAATCTTTCAACGGAGCAGAAGACCAGTGGCCGGTCACCAAGAATGACCCGAATAAGGCAATCCAAAATAGCACGTTGTCGGCCAAGGCTCAATTCAGCGATCCGATTGATGTCGAGATGGATCTGCAAATGGCTCCTCCGGCCTCCCAGCCGAGGATACGACGCGCTCGATCGAACGATATCGTGGCTCCTGAGCGCGGATCCGATTTCCTTAGTGCCATGGATACATTTGCTCGAGAAAGAGTGCCAACGCCCATCAGCGGTCATTTCGACAATCGCGTCAGTGATCTCCCTAACGTTCCACGCCATCATTTCCCACCGCTACGCACCAATCTCAGCCCGATGATTGAACAGGAGTCGTGGATCACTCGAGACGGCCTCCCCAGTCCTGTCGAAGACCACGATATGGACGCCGCAATGGTGATGGAGGACGAACCCCCCACTGAGGTGCATTTTCCTGCCGGAAAATACGGAATGGACGACAATTCGAGCCCTATAGGACGAACGAGGTCGGCAAGGCTTCATATGGGTTATCTCAATGATTGCGAAAAGTGCATTCAGAAAGTACCTGGTCATTACAGTCACATTATATGGACTTGAAACCAAGGAGCAGTTTGCGTAACAGCTTTGGCCTGCTCGTGGTTGCATGACGATTTTGATGAGCAATGAGAACAAAGATTAAATGAGAAGCATGACTATCACATCTTGGAGGGTGCCAGGTTACAGGGCGTTCGCTCGTTGGCATGGCCAACAGCGGTGGGAGATTATATAAACCCACGTGTGGTTTACAGGCAGCATGTTTTGGCGGATTGCTTGTTTGAAACTGGGAATTTTCGATTTGAGAGTTTTGCGCGGCTCTTTCTACGCAAGGGTGCGCGGCCGTCTTCAAATAGCTGTACAAATGACATGCCTGGGATGCCCTCCGATACCAGAGATCAATTCCTTCGAAACCCAAACCCCCGTTTTCATGTGCCTTACGATTCGCTGTTGCTGCCTCTAATCCAACTTAACCAGCTTCTTCCTCGCCCCGTCGAAGGCCCTCCAACAACACCAGCCACGTTACTGGCCATCACATCCAATGGGCCTCCCACAGTTGTTGGTCTCGCGGCAAGGGTTCTGTCGTCCCTTGCAGGCTCGTCTTCTGCTTTCCTGGTGATGTATTCGACTCTGTCCGCGGGTACAGGGCGACCCTTTGAGTCGATGCCCACGCCCTGGACGCCACTTGGGGCAACTTGAACAGCCTCCCTCACAGGGAGGCCTTTAGAAGTAGGCTGTACTTGGCCTCCAACCAAGCCTTCCTCCCTGTGTTTCCATTCCGCACTGGTTTCTCGTCGACTCTTCTCCTCGGCCGTTTCCTCCCCCATTGTCCCCTTAGCCATCTGACCACCCACAAACCCCTTCAACTTGCTCCAGTAGCCTTCTTGCTTCTTCCTCTCCGCCTCTTTCATCCTCGCTGCCTCCATCTCCTGCCCTGCACGTTCCTGCTCGAGCAGATGCAGCTGTTCCGCGCTCGCCTCCCCCTTGAGGAACGCCCGTCTGGCGTCATCCAGCCTGTTCAATTCCCTCTCAACCCACGCGCGCTTTTGTCTTCGTGAATGGGCAATGAGCGATATCGTGCCGTATGCGGTGACGCAGACTGCGAGGCCGGAGAAGATTATCAGGCCGTATGCCGTGAGCCGGTGGGCGCGGTCGGCGATGACCCGACCACTGGAAATTATGCGGTCGATGGGTGAGGAGCCGGCCGAGCTCTTTGCAGCCTCGTGCGCGGCCCGAAGACGGGCGACTCTTTCCATTGGCGTCTCTTTCGAGGACGAGCCATGTTGGGGGGACGAGGGAGGTTGTGAAGACGAGGCAGAAGGGGATGGTGAGGAGGGTATGTTCCTGGCTCCGGGCCGGGAGGCAGGTTGATAGGTGAAGGTCGTGGCATGAGGAGTTGTCGAGGTGAAGCGAGTAAAGGTGTCGGATGCCGGTCGTCGCGACATCTTTGGTATGAATGCTTTCATTATTTTTTTTCTTGGTGTTGTTCAGGGAGAGAAAAAACCGCAGACGAGGAAAAATCCTCGACGTGGGAGAGGGATACAAAGTTCACTGATGGTGTTACAGAGCTGGCATCTCAAAATTTCGTGCACATTGGGCTGCTAGTGTACAGAGAAAGTAGAAGGTCGTCCCAGTCAAAGATGGAGAAAATGGCCAATGGCGGGCAGTGGTGGACAAACGTTGGTTGAAGATTGCGAGAAATAAACTGAAAATGAAGCTCCCGAGCGAGACGAACACGAAAGCATCGCATGACGGCGACAAGGATCGCGCGACCCGCTTTTTTTCTCATTGGATCTCCAAAGCTTCTTTCCCTCTTGTCCAACTGGTCAGAGCCAGATAGAGAGAGAGAACTTGTTGCTCTGTTTCCTTTTTGTTGTGTATTATCTCAGAGGCAACACCTGTTTAGCATCCCAACCAATCACTTGTAGGAAGAAAACTCGCCATAGCTTTCGTCCCGGGTATGGCAAAGTCCAGTCAACTTGGTGCACTGACTCCGTATTGTCTCCACGGTCATCTCTTAGGCATTAGTATAGATACTCTTGCCTTGCTGGCCATTCCCCTTGGTGATGATTTTGCTAGTCCACTTTTTCTCAATCAAGGAACCTTCATATCATGTCCACAACACAGATGTAAACATACGATATGTGCCACCTGCATACTGGTTCGAGTCAAAGGGACGCAGCCTTGCCAAGACGCGAGGCTGTCGTTTGCCGAGCTGATCTGACTGACTTCTGCATCGTCACTTCTGGACCTTCAACTTTCCCTCTTTTCTACATCTTTGAGATATCACAAGACCACAGCTCCTCTATGAGGGCTTCAAGAGGATCTTCACACTGTCCATGGACTTAGCCTCGTTGCTGCTCTGGTGCTCTGCTTTTTTGACTTGGTCGTGACCTGAAATGGACGGTCAGCGGAATCCAGAGCTCCAGCGGGTACTAGCAGCGCTGAATAGCTTTTCCCAGCAGCAACAACCGCCACCTCAGCCCTCTTTTGTTAGATTCGATCCCTACAGTAGTCAAAGTCACCATGGGGTAGATACTGGTTCCGCCAATACGCTGATCCCGGGCTTGGGCTTACTCCCGTCAGCCATCCATGAGTGTGTTCTCTCTCCGCCACCTATCCACCGCCACCAAGACCCGGTTCCTACAGCGCCCCAGGCACAGAGTAGGACGTCGACACCGGTTCTGCCGGAGACTCTTCGCAGCAAGACTTCGACTCCTAATTTCAATGTCCCCGATGCATCGACAATAATTACTTGGCCAGCAGCACTGAAGCACGTCTCGCGCCATCTTGTTCACAACGAACAAGTGGCCAACAGGATCAAGCATTTAATCAACGAACAACACAAGCATGAGCGCCAGTGGTGGGCCGGCCGTGAAGCCATTATTGCGAGACAGCAGGGCAGATCTGGGACATCGCAGCAGGTCTCGGCGATTTTGAAGTCGCTGGGTGCGAAGGATGTGGCAGCTACTCCATCCCGCGGGGCTGCACCATCAGAGGCACAGAAGAAGGCGGACCAGGCAGAACTGGACGCTTATGACAGAAAGGTGTATGCTGGTCTGCTGGCCATGACCGCAGATTTCGACAGGCAACTGCGGTCACTGGGTGTACCGTTTTATGCTATAAAGCATGACTTGGTGATTTTGGAGGATGGACCCGAGAAACGGGCTGGAGCCAACAAGGGCAAAATCGACAGAGGAGAATTAAGGGAGTTGCAGAAGCGGATGTGTCAAACTTTAGAGGATCTGTTCGGGGACTGAGATTCGGCCTAGAAGGATAACTCGACCAATACAAGGACTTATAAAGAAATCAATCCAGGCCTCTGGATCGAAGCATTTGCAGTCAGGATGAGGTTTGGGAGCATTACATATCCCGGCAAGTGTTTCTCTTTGGCTAAATAGGCATGTCAGCGCAGAGGGAGCAGAACAGTATCAATACAGCGATGGCGAGAAGATAGACTCTTCCAGGATGCACTGGTCAGCGAAGAGATGTTGGCTGCAGATGAATGCTACTGCCTGACCTGCACTCATGCCAGGAACAAGCGAAGATGCACAAAGATCCCAATGAGGGAAGAATGGCGATGGGGAGCATGTCCTGTGTTGTGAAACTTCAGGGATGGGGCATCGCGTCTTGCTCTTTGTTGCGCCTTGTTAGCAGTCAGCGTCTCTGCTTCACTTCAACCTCACCCCACCTCACCTCAGGTCATGCTCAAACATTTCAGGAAAGAGTCCTCAATCTCCGGCACATTACCTCCGATAGCCATGGGCACCTTGCTGCACTACCTCACCACCGGCACGGGCTGCGATTTGATCATAATCTGTCGCGGAGAATTCTTCTTTGTGCACGAGTCAGTCATTGCCGCTCACTCACCGGTGCTAGAAAGAGATGCGTGCAAGTCAACGGTAATTACTTCTTTCACTTCGCCCTCCTCGCCACCATTATACATCTCTCCTCGGTCACTGACTCCGAAGTTTCCAGTTTCTTGGTGGCGAGGCGTACATCCTGGACGCAGTCTCTCCTGATGTCTTCCGCAAAGTCCTCACTTTCATGTACCGGGGCGACATTCCGGAATCTTTCCAGAGCACACTAGCTGCCTCGACTCAATTTCCCCTCGGCGAAAAGTTCCCATCAACCGACGCCTTCCTGGTCACCATACAGGGCAAGCCTACCACTGTCAACCTCTTGGATGGCTCGACCAAGACTATGGACACCATCACTAATACAGACAAATGGGCCATCTTGATGGCAAAGCAAGCCTTGATCAGGGATCCATATGATATCCGTCCATGTATTAACTCGGACGAAATCTTTCCAGAACTCAATGTCTACCTCGTTGCGAAGCAACTGGAAATTGGACCCCTAAAGGACGTCTCGGTGCAAAAGATTATCACTTGGTTTGAAAAAGAACTGCGTACGGGTTGCCCATTGTCTGAAGACTTCCATGTCTGGGCTGGTTACATTTTCAGGGCCTACGACGACTTTATACAACCCTTCTTCAGGATCTGTGCACTGCACATCCCTGTCGTGGAGAAAGACACGTCCCTGGTATCTTTGCTTGGGAAATGCAATTCTAGCCTCTGGGAGGGCATGCTGTCCGTCCGTGCACAGTGGCAAAAGGACCTTGTGAACAAACGAGAGGAATTACAAAAGACCAAGGACCAGTGTTTGGTCCTAAAGGTAGACGCAGAAAAGCAGAAAGCTGCGTTCAGAGATCAAGAGACAGTGTATAAATCGAAAATGGAAGAGCTGCGGAAGTCACTGGCTTTGGCTGATGAGAGGACTCGAGCTGCACAAGCGACGGCTCAACAGCTCGACAAGCTCACACGTTCTTTACAACAGGACCTGTTGAAGGAGAAGGCCAGTGCGGTCCAGTTGAAGGAGACCAACACCAAGAACACCAAGAAAGAGAAGCAGCCCGCCAAAAGCGACCCCGCTACTTCGAAACTTCAGAAGCAAATTGGAGATTTGAAAGAAATGGTCAAGAGCAAGGAACAGGCCCTCAAAGAGTCCAAAGCTGCCAATAACAAGGTCAAGGCGGCCCTGCGTAGCGAGAAGGAGGCGCTGCATATTGAGTATGCCAAAGTCAAAGATGCATTCACGGGGTTCAAGAGATGGATCAATGACACGCCAAAGTGTCCAAGCTGCCAGAGAGAGCACAACATCCGGATCGAGCACCAGCGCTATACTTCGATTGGCGTTACATGCGCGCATTGCCCATTTCGTACGATGTGGTACGGAGCGGACACTGATGATGGGAAGGCGTGAAAGGGCACAATATGAAAAGATTGATGAGTCCAGATGTGGTCATTGAAAAGATGTCAGCTGTTTGATCACAGGGGGCTGTGCAAATGAGAGGATGTGCTGGGACAGTGTATTGACCCCAAAACGGGAGGTGTTGGGATATCTCCTGTAGTCGATGAAGCCGATGCCTATCTGAGTTGAAGACATCTGATGGCACTGTCACTATTACATGCGACCTGTGTGCTTGGGGTGGAAGCCTGCCTTCCATGACCATGATGTGGATAGACCAAGTCGCAGTTGCCAAACCCTGCGTGCAATCGCTCTGTCAATAGCTTCAGTGTAGCTTTCTCGAACACTGCGTTCTGTCTGTTCACATTCAAACCAACAAAATTGACAAGTGGTTTCGAGCAGATACTTAGCCCTCCCTCCTGGTACTGCCTTCGATCCCTCTACTCTTGCACAAACATGGACGAAAGACGAGGTAGTGCAGGTGTCGTTGACACTTTGGCTCGCTCTTCTGACCATTCCACTCCTTCATCCTCCTCTGCTGAAGCAACCACCGATTTACGAAGTCTTGCACTTCGAGCACAAACACTGTTGAGTACTCTCGATACGCTCCGCAAGCACTGTGGACATGAGAGCACCTCGTCGGATATTGCTACTGTCATTGAGGAGTTGAAGCTGCTTGCCTCGGAGCTCCACAGCCTCGATTCCGCGGTCCATGCCAACAAAGAACTCTACACCGAGGCTTTTGGTGAAGATCTGGGCGAGATTCGTGCACATCTCCGGGGCATCTTTGAAGACATTGCAGATTGCTGCAAAGAGATGCAAAAGGCCGATGGCCCAAATACCAGCGCAGTGGGCTGGCTGACCAAGAAGAGATACGTACGCAAGTTGCAGAAACACTTGGAAGTCAACAAGACCACCCTGATTGTGATGCGCACTGTCCTACACCATGGCAAGGAATATGGAACTTACAAGTCGGTTCGCCCCTTTTGAACTTGAGGCGAACTATAGAACTGACGTTCTCCAGCTCTCCCGGTCGCCTAGCCGAGTCCTCACCACACACCTTGCAAGAAGACCTTGCTATCCTTGAGACTGTCTTTGCAAGCAGGACCGCCATCAAGGACCTCCAGACCCTTGCCAAAAAGGCCCATGGACATTCGCCTTCAACTTCCTCGATAGGAATTAACAATCCCTCTCCAACCCTCCAACCAGGGGCACACGGCCGAAACTTGTCGTCTGCTACGGGTGTCGACATTCCAGTGATGGGAGACGTACTTCCAGCCAGCACTGCAGATGAAAAGGGGAAGAAACAAGATGCATTAGCACGGAGGTTCTCCCGCCGCGGAGTGCGGTTGGCCGTCCATAGCTCAATCATGGACACTAACGCACACGACGTCCCCATCTCACTGCGGAGGAAATGGATTCACGACGCTCAACTTCGACATGGCCCTGACTATATGGAAGCGGATGGCCAATCTGCTGCTCAGCTAAGCAAGATTTCCGAAGTCAACTCCAATTCTGGACAGGACGACGAGTCGGCAAAGCAAGGTCGTCAATCAAGTCTCACCACACCGGAGGGTCAAACTGTTAGCATCGCTTCATCAACGTCGGGCCCGCTCTCGACGAATTCGAAGAAAAGCTCGTCGCTGGCAAATTCTCCATTGGGTAGGAAATTCGGGAGTGTCATTGCTCGACTTTCTCGCCCGGCCAGTGAGCAACACGAAAGTGCTAGTGAACATAATGCCGAGGCAAAGGTGCAGGGGGGGCAGATCCAGGCTGAGAACAGATTGGGCAAAGAGCAGGAAGGGGAATCGACAGTGATTAAGAAAGAAATGTCGGCAAAGGAGAAGCCTGGATGGTCCTACCGTTTAACCAGGCCCTTTGTGAAGTCGGAGCTGACCACACCTGATTTCGAACGAGGTTTTTAATTGGGACAGTACAATCATCGGATGGCTATGCAGGGACAGAGTCTGTCCATGGCAAAGAGCATAACGCACTTTGCTTGGAATGATGTGTGGTATGCAGTCATAGAGTATATTGCAGCCGTTTGAGATAACGCCGTTGAGTCCACCTTCAGTACTGAACAAGAAGAGGCATAACATATGATGTATAGAGTACTGCCATGACAAATATGTTAAGTCTAATCTGCATATCTGAAGACATTTGCTCAATGAGGCCTAATTTTGCAAACAGTTGCTGGTATATCAAGTACTTTGTACTTTTCCTTTGGTGACATTTTGTCTGGACGAGGCTGAGAATAAATGCCAAGAATCCAGGGGGTTGACAAGGCTGCAACCATGACTTTGTCTCGTCCCACGTTTTTTTCCTCCGTCCGTTTGCATGTCATTCTGTCGATCTGAAACTTGTCGACAGATGACGAACAGAAATCGAGACTCTAAAGAACAACACCGGACGAGGGAACAGAATATCATCCAACCAAACAAGCGCGCTTCGAACGCAGGTCTTTGACACGAAATCGGCAACGGACATGCGTGTCATGTCATGAAAGATGCAGAGAGCGAGTGCGTGGGGATGCCGGATGGCTTTCTGTTCGCTCTGTGTATGGGCGGATGGATGAACGGAAGGCCGTTTGAAAGGTCCAGCTAGGAGGGGAGGGGGTGGGTTTGAAGAAGGTGAGAAAGGACAGGGGATGTATGCGTACAAACGAAGAAATGCATGGTGGTTTGTTTGGCTGTTCCCTTTTCCCTTCCCTTCAAAACCGAGATCTTGTTCTCCTTCTTCGTCCATCCTCGTCCTTTTTCCTTCCTTCATCTGTTCATATTGCGAATCTTTGTTTGCCTGATGGGATATATCTAGCAATATCTAGCGATAAAAAGACAGAGAAGACAAAACACCAGGAAATCGTTGTCACATATCGAACATAAATTTCCCACCACAAGAAACTACAGGGTGTCTAGCAGCCACAGCCACATCTGCAAGAGGAGCAGACATCAACAACCCTGGCTATCCGCATCTTCTCCTCGTCAAGCACCCATCGCCACGGCCGCTTCGAACTCAAGCACACCGATACCGTCTTCCTCCCGGACTGGACCACCCGCCCGTTCATGGACTTGGCCAATAAACTCTCCGGGCTGGACATGTATCTGTACAATGCAGAGGACAGTCCATGTCCACCACAGCCTGGGTTGTGCGGCGGGGATAATGTCCGTGGACATCGGGGTTCGGTGTCGTCAAATGCTCACGCTCAGGGTCCGAAACAGCCGGGTGAAGATACTTTTGACGAAAAGAAACATCCGCACGTGTCGGCGAGGGGTGTGGCGATTGGTCACATCGACGTCAATGGTGCAGATGACCGCGAGGGCGACGGTGAGGGAGACTGGGAAGTTGTCCCCCAGTATCCAGATTGGGACGTGGTCGGTCGTGGCGGCGATGGCCGTGAGCGAAAGCTATCGCTGAAAGCAGATTGGGTCGTGTGCGAAAAGGGCCGAGACGGCAAGGTGCAAATGTTTGAGGGTCCTCGAGTCGAAGACGGCGATACTGCACTGTCCGCGTCGTCGGAAGAGAGAGCTCAGATGACCGACACGTCTCTGTTTGAACCTACCACGCGACCTGGCATTCGAGTTTCCGCAAAACCCAGCCCAGCACATGCGTCATATATACTCGACGGCGATTTGGATTCGCACCACGCTCGCGCCCGAGAACTAGAAGACAGTCATCCAGCGTCGTCAGATCGTGGAACAGCGAACGTGTCCAGAGTTGATCTGGTACCCTCAAGAAAGTCATACGAGCGAACTCGGCCAGGACACAAGCTACGACCACGGGCATCACCGTCGACGGATCTGGGTGACGAGGCTCGGAAACATGAACAGGAGCTACAACCAGCACACTCAAGGCCCCTCCGCGTCTCGACCACCCGCAGGGCCAAACACCGCGCTGCCAACCCGACCAAGAACCGACCATTCCCACCCGACGAACAGGATCTCCCCTTTTTGAGTCCTTCTCCTCCTCCCCTTTCTCCACCACCAAAGACCGTCCTAACGACTCACAAAGACCTCATCGGAGACCCCCGCGACCACGAGCAAGTCCCCGCCGCGTCGCGAGTGCTGGCAAAGGGTGACCAGGACTCCGCGGCGCTGATTGCCGCGCAGGAACGGCTGGACGAGAAGCTGCAGCAGCGAGACCAGCGGGGGATTTATAGCCGTCACGAGGAGTGGCGCGATACGGTGCCTTCGTGGCCGCCGCGGTTTTATCATTAGGCTGCTGGCATACTTGTCTACTCATCTGCTGGGCTTCTAGGCCGATAGGGGATCTGTGCTTTGTGCAGTGGTTGGAGGTCGGGAATTGGAACTGGGAAGAGAGATATGATGGGTGGCCGGGTGGTGGTGCTGATGATACGATCTCTGACAACATGTCGACGGCTTACCTCCGCCATTCAACGCACGGCGGTCAAGAACGCGCAGACAACAACATACGTCGAACAAACATTGTTGAATGCTTTGCATATATGTCTATGAGCCTACATATCTTCTTTCACACGTGGACGGACAGGGATCAGTGAGCGTCCTGACGCCTGATTGAGCGAATTGGGCTTGCCGTGGATGACGACCTCGTGCAAATAGCTAGGTAAATATGTTGGGAACGACTCTTTACATTCTTGGGTGTCGGTCAAAATCTAACACAATCATCATCATCATCATATCATCATCATATCCTTCCCGTCTGCCTGTCTGGGTCTTTCTCCTCCCCTACCTGCTTGCCTGCCTGCAAAACTGAATTGACACCCGTGTGGCACTGGCCCATAGGTTGGGGTAGCCTGGAGAGTGAAAGCGCGCTGGGCCAGTATGAGCCACCTTTCCTTTCCGTGGGCTCACCCTTGCGTGACCCTGGAGCTCGTCCTTATGGGAGACGGAACAGGCAAGGTTTGCCCGAGACTGGCGAACCCATAGCTCAGACTCTATGACGATGTGGGCTGGAGGGGATTGGAGGACTCCACCCTAGGGAGTAACCATTCTCCCACCAAAAGGAACGGCGTCACCCACTTTCCTGCTTGCCGAAACGCGCTTCATTCTGGAAGGTCAATGTAGTGACACTTTTGATCGATTGATGACCAATGACCAAGCAAGCCAGACATAGTGCAGCACTCCTGGCTCCCAGGTACAGGGGTTCCCGTATGCCGTCAATGACCAATAGCAGGGCTGTACTACGAGGAAGCAGAGCACGATATGAACCAAACAGGTGATGCTCGTTTGCCACACCCTGAATGCAGAACGGCTGTCGCCTCCAAACTCACTCACACTCACGGCCGGTCTGCCAGAGGTCCAATTTTGTTGCTGTGGCCGATTGAAATTTCCAAACCATCGCTCACAGCTGCCGCCATTGAGATAGTGTATCGAATCGGTCAGAGCATACCAGAATTCCTGTTCTTCCGCATCAGGTGAACAACATCAATCCCTCTTGCCGATATTGCTGGTGTAGCCACCATAGCCACCGTAGCCGGAGCTCCTCGCCATGCCATTTCCGACGTTGCCGCCGAGGATACCGTTGGAATATATCCCACTTCGCCCGCTTTTCCTCCTCTCGTAGACGAGCATCGCCATGGCTCCCACGCCAGCACTCGCAGCCACAGCGAAGAAGCTCAGCAACGAAAAACCTATGCTGTGATCCGTCACCTTGAGGACAGGCCGGCCAACCATGCCGGGTAAGACTGCTCCGTCGATCCACCCGACATTGAACGTAAGGACCAATGGCTCGTTGCGAACGATTTTGGCGCCCTCGCTGGGCGCGGAGGACGAGGTGTTCGGGAGAGAATAAGCAGTCGAGGCAATCAGATACGACTGGTGCGAGGAAGCTCGTGGCGAGTCCGGGTCCTGGGACATGTGGAAGAGAGCGTTGATGTTTGTGTGTAGATGCAGATGGCTGAGTTGAAGAACTCCCTGCAGCGCAATTGTAAAGGGTGTCCAGAGGCCCTTTTCCGCGGCGCCCAGCCCGCTCGCGTCGGGGAGGGAAGATGTGATTCCAAGCTCTTCCTGCGTCAATGGGAAGGAAGGGACTCGACAGGTCAGGGGCACATCGCTGTGGACGAAGAATTCGAGGAGGTGATAGAGTTCGTCGGGCAGGGCATCGATCGTGCAGGTCTGCGTTTGTGGCTCGTTGTACTTAAACGATAGCGGCTGGCCCGTCTCATTGCACGTCGGAAACGGTATATATTGTAGATTCCCATGGTCGTCGGTTATCTGTCAGCAATTTCCGCGTCAGTATGCGTCTTACACCTCGACAGACGCCACCGTTGCCCGCTGCAAAGCCCATCGTTGCCCAACGTTCTTTACGGTAGACGGCACAACTTACATGCTCTCCAGTGTCGCTGTGTCCTGTTAGTAGTGGCACAGAGTATCCCGTGGAATCAACACTCACATGGTCCTGTTCAGGCAGCTGACGGGCATCAGCTCCCCTTTAGAGTAGCCCCTGCGTGGGGAGGCACCGTTGAGCTCCGTTGTCTCATCGGCGGCGGCGACAGTGACCGAAGCTGATAGATATAGGTAAAAGATGGAGAGTGCGTTCAAGTACACAGATACATGACGGAGCATGGTTGCGGTCCACCAAATGGGTTTCAATGGGCATCAAGATCTCGCTGCGCACTTTTTCGCGCGCATTTGTGGACGATCTTGGTTCGTTGGAAACTTGCCGTTTTCGTGAACCTCAGGCGCTAAAGACGGGCCGTCCCGCTGCTACTCATCTCGTCAGGCACTCAAGCACTCAAGGCACTACCGGCTTGGGGCTGCTTGACGTCACAATCCCAAAAGCCCTGGTGGCAATGAGGACAGAGAGGATTTAGAGAATACACGCTACAACAGTTGGAAGCTTTAGCAGTGCTTTTTGTACTGCTGTACTTCGCTGCATGAAGCTCCAAGACAGGCCGTGGTGTCACGGTCGCTTATAGGCTGAAGCGCTCCGATATTGGGTTGTCCTATCTATTTCTGTAATATCTGGAGTCATGGAATCTGTTACTCTCTCTACGCTACTGCCTTCCTCTGACATTTCTAATTTCAGCAGTGTCCTCGAAAGGCGTTATGGAAAACTAAGGTCACATGGTAGTGACGGACAAGGCCTGCTGAAGAGTTCAATTTGTAAAGAGCTCGGTCTGAGTTGAACGAAAGCATCGGCGAATAGATAGTAACGGCTCCTGTCTGTCCTGAACAGACTTAAGCAAGATAGACCGGGTTTGTGGTTTGGCTTGAGGGCACGAAACCTAATCATTTCTGCTCATTCGGGCCAACCTCATGAAAGTAGTTCTTACTACCAGCCGATTAGAAACTTGAGGGCGGGTCGTATCAACTTTTTGAATTCGCTCTCTAAATGTTGTCACAGGCCGGTCACAATATCCTGGCCGTTACTCTTTCCTTAGGCTTAGCATGCTCTTCCATTTCACCCTGCACACGTCTAGCTCGATGCCCCCGTACCCTTGCCTGTCTTTGTCTCGGCATGATCTTGAAGGATATGCTTCGGGTTGCTTGTGAGATTGGCGGTTTGGTCATCTTTGCCTTCATTCTTGCTTTGCGAGTTGTCGAGCTATACGCCATAGTTAGCAAATGTGATCAAGGTACCTTTGATGTTGTTTTGGCAAGAGTCGATAGGTATGGTTTGTGTCTGGGTGCACAACCGCGAGCTAGGGGAAGTATACCTTTCCGCTGCCCGGCTGGGAGGGATGATCTTGCTGCTGAGCGCCGGTCTGTCGCTCAGGGTCTGGTGACTGACGGCCTTGGTTCGGTGCAGACATTGTGTGATAAGAGGATAAGGTGTTGTACACGATCTATGTGCTGTGTGAGCAATGGCTTTGCTCGAGCAGATGTTGGGGATTGAGGGCTTGTATTCGACTTACTGGAATTTGGGTAGATGGATATGCGTGAGTTGGCTTGATAGACGAGAGAAAGAGAGTTCTGGAGAAGATGTGAATGTGAGAAATAGGACTCAGTATAAATGAGAAGAGGCTGCGTCCTTCGTCACCCCGCTGAGCACGATGATGATCCCGCTATGAACTATGACGTTTGATGGTTACGAAATACTGGGCCGCCACGAACCATGTCACGCCTGCTGTGAGCCTTTCCAGGTAAGGGAAGTAAAGATCCTCGATACCCTGCAAGGAATTTCCCATGCATATCGGCATCTGAGACTTTGCCATAGAATCTTGCATTGCCTCGCTTGCTTGGTCGAGTGGTGATATTTTCTAGAATGAGTGGATCAGATGAAACCATATATTCCAGCGCGCAATCGCTTGATCTGGGTCTCTCCAAAGGTCAAAACGACGTTTCCACCATTGCCTAGATTTATGTTGCACAGATATCAGACAAACTCAACTGAATCCAGCAAGCCAACAAATCTAGACCGCCATTTGATCAGTCACACAAACAACCATCCGCCTTTTATCAGCCTTCTGCCTTCCACCTTTCAATCGACCAGAACATTCACTCTTATGACTCAAAGCACACCTGCGAATCTATTTTCCCCAGCGCAAACTTGGACTGGCGATGCCGAATGTGGCCAGGAGGCTGGCTTTGCAGTTGGGACAGCTCCGGCTCTTGTCCTGGCGAATTTTGAGCTGCACGTAGTTGGGGCACCGGCGTCCAGCCTGATACTTGCAACCTGTCTTGTCCAGCTGGTATGATTCGTAGTGACCGCACCTCAGGTTGATCAGGCGTTCGAAGCACATGGTGGCGGGGTATTGTCTCGTCCAAAACCGACTGCGCCGAAGCCGTTAATGAATGACCTGCAGTGAAACAGTGTCGCGCACTCACGTACACTTGATCTTCTAAATATTGACTTATCCAATTGGTTGTGCGTTGTTTATTTCTGCCACTGTGGGCGGTGCAGGCGATCGGCCCAGTTATCCAGGCTCTCCGCAGGCCTCACAGAAGCGATCAGTTGAAATGGTGGAAGGCTTGTTCATACTCTGGGGAATGATGGAATCAGATAATAGATGACAGTGGATGAAGCTATCGTCCGGGACGATGGCAATGTGGTGTACTTGTAGGAAAAATGTGGCAGTGAGGACAGGAGTCATTCCAGGTGGGCAGAACGAGAATTAAGCTGCTCAGGTGTTTTGGGGGGGAGGCGCAGGCAAAGATTTGTTGCGTTCGGAAGTCTTGGGTGTCTGGCACTTTGGGTCACTCCCAGAGTCCCAGCCGGTTGGCCCGCCTATGCGAATCACACTGCGCCCGATGCGGGAACTTGGGCCCCCCTAGCCACGATGGTCTCGCTTTGT